AGGCGATGCCTTCTTGCTTGTGTAGTTGGCCTTGCCTGCTTAGTGCGGAAGTGCGTAAAGTAGGCTCATTCTTTGGTTTATAAAGATCTTGTAGTAGCCGAAGGTAGTCCGCTTGTTAGATTGAATTGAATCTTATATAACAACCGGGGCCTTATTAATTAAGAGACTTTATCAATAGTATAAGTGGACCTCTCAAAGGTATAAGTAGACATTAGTCTTGCTGGTTCGGGCGGTAAGGCCCTGGGTAAGCTCGGGTTAGCCTGTCAGGGTGAATGCAGGTAGTGGATGTAGCTTTTCTTCTGAAGCGTCTTAGTTCGTAGCTGCCGAAGTGTAGCATTGAGGTGAGGAGCGCACTAGCTAGGTGGAGTCTCCTTTCGGAACTACTTCTTTTCCTTTCTCTCTCTGCTATCCTATCCACTGAACTGTCAGTATCGAGACAAGTTCGGAATGTTGGCTGAGCGTAGACTAGTCTGTTCAGTAGTCACAGGATTGCTAAAGCTAAAAACGGAACTTAGCTTCTCACTGACTACATCAGAAGCGAAATCCTCAACTTCAAATACAATGCGAGCTGGAACGGGGTTGCCTTAGCTACTGTGGTGTACATATGCCAGGAATCACACCATAGCCGGAGTCGATCGAGTGAGGATAAACCTACCTACCTTGGGGAAGGGCCAGATCTTGATGTAGAAAGGAGCTCTCAGGCTGAGGCAAAGAAGAAAGCTTACGATTCTGTTGGTGTTCAGTGAGCTCTAACAATCGAAGCGGCTAAAGGAGCCTGCTTTGGTGACCCTACGAGGAAGTGTTGCTCATTAAAGTCAGCTTCAAACTTCCGGTAACCACTTATCCCAAGATAGGTGGGAAATTCATTCCGGATGGAACTAAATATTTCACATTTATAGGCTTCGGCGGATGTAGATTCGGCAAAAGATTACTCTTCTTCAGGTGCAGATGAGGTTTATGGGGAAGAGGAGGCAAGGGCTGACGCTTAAGCATCGGCTAGTGGAACCACTCCTGTCCTTCTTTCGTATCCGAGGTGGGCTCTTTACACATATGATATGGAGGTCTAGTACGGTGAACAAGTAAGGTAGGGGCTCTTCGATTAGGCGAACCAGTCCAACTAGGCCAAAATACAACCGTCCACTCCTTTTCACGGCTTTAGCAAAGCTTAGGTCCTCGGGTCCAAAACGAGCCTATCGGTCCAATCCCTATTCCCCTTCTATTATTCAATGAAAAAAGTAGAAATTCCCTTGGCCTCCTTCTTTATATCGATTTCACAACTCTTTATGGTTGGTATAGGCAAGGACTCATCTTTGAATGAATCCATTTTCCTCTCCTCCCCACTTCCACCTTCTTTGTATTGGTTTTTGTGGGAGATCAGGTCGAAAGGAGCGAAGGGAAAGTGCCCGTCTTGACCGACCAACTTCCGGAATGTCCTTGCTTGGGTCAGTTCTTCAGGGGTCAAGTCTTTTGACAACTTGTTCTAGGGTTACCTTTCTTAGTCACGCATTTTCTTTTTGCTTTTTGATGGGTCTAGTCCCTTAGCCAATCAAACAAAACTTCCCCAATCGGCCTCTTCCTTCTTATTATTCTGTCGGGCCTAGGGTACTACGGCCTTTCTTATTCCACTTTCTCGAAATGTAGAGCAGCGAATCGAGAGTCTCTCGCTCTCTTCCCATTCCTTATTCTATGGCCGATCTTCTTGAATCCAAAGCCGGTGCAAACGATCTCATAGGTGGATCACGGGAAATCACTCGAGATAGGAAAGCATTAAGCAAGAAAAAGCTTTGACTAAAGAAGGCCGATTCCCCTAAGCAATTAAAGGGCTACGGCTTTCGCGGGCAATCGCTTCTTCGAGACCAATTCCAACAATATCGAGATTGGAATGAAATTCTAGTTAGACCCCGGCCGCTTTCTTGGAACTAATTGATAGGCACTTAGTTTTCTATAGAACAAACGGGCGATATGCAGCATCAATCAAGGTAAAAAGGTAGTCACGGCCTGTGCTATAATGCACAAAAGCCCTCCACCCCACCAAAAAGTAAAGAACCCGTGGTGCCTGCTTGTGACACATAGGGCTTGCTTTTCGTGATTACTATGAAATAGATGGCGGACTCAATTCATCAGGAACTGGAAGGACGACATCTCTCTCAGAAAAAAGGGAAATAAAAGACGAGAGAATCCTGCCTTTATTTTGACTACCCTAGGCTAGAGGACTTGACGGACCACCTCAGAGGTCGGAAGAAGATTCTTGGAGACCACGTCAACCCTTGCTGAAAGGGGTATGGGGGACAAGCAGGGCATATAGCCCATAAAGAGGTGGAATCCGTTCGTTCATACGCACACCGACTGGATCATCCACAGCGAAGATAATACTCGAAAATGAACTACGAGTCACCTTCTTTGAGCAATATTCTATTTTTCAGAGAGAAGAATGACCAAAAGTAGACCTGACCTGAACAAGTACATCCGACCTTTCGTCTTGATTCATAATCAAGAAAGACGGGATCTAAAGGCACGCAATTCTTGATCTTTTTAGAATTCTCAAGGACATCGATCTTTCGCCTTGCGCAAGGATATCTCTCTTTTCTTAGACTCCATAAGGAGAGAATAGTCCACTTGGGTGGAAGGGGAGGCCAGGTTTTATTTTACCTGGGCCAAAGACTGTCCCCTCTGCTCTTCCGGGAAAAGTCGCTTCCTTTTTTCGGGGACTTTTCCGCAACTCCTTATCACTATTTCGCTTTCTATAAAGCATAGTGTCAGTCTCCCTTACTTTATAGGGTAGGAGAAGGTATCTCAAATATATATATATATATATATATATATATATATATATATA